AAGTTATGATAGAACATAATAGCTTGACCTGACAGCTTTCTTTATTATGCCGTCCTTTCATACCGACAGGACTGAATGTTGCCGCAATGCAAGATAAACACTGTTTTTTACGTGTTGTAAAAGACGGAGGCTAGAACTGCACACTGCAGGCAAAATCATCCCTGGAATGTGTAGTTGTAGCCTCCATCTTTTACACAATATTGCATATGCAGCAATCACGAGTAGGTTTGGGGTACTTTCTATATGCTGCTTATTTCAAATCATCTTATGGAAACATAAATGCTGTGTAATTGCTAAACATGAAAATTCAGTTATATCTAAAGCGTGTGGTAGTTTCTGCATTGACATTATGCATCTTGCCCACATGGATAAATAATTAGGGAGGTTATTCTCTACTTCAAAGGGTTGTTGATGATGATGCTTGTTGCACTCTGGGAATGTAGTGGTAAAATGACCTGTTGATTGCTGGTGGCGATGTAGATCTGAAGCTACAAAGTAAACTTTGTTCTCTGGGGCAACGGATACAAGAACACTAAGCAAGAGAGCAGCAATAGGATGGTAATTATACATCTGCACTCTGTTGTTTTCCCTGCACACAAAATCAGCTACACAGTAACGCCTCAGTTCTGGAAGATGACCTGTTACTATGGTACATAAATCACATGCCAGTGACTGGTATTGTGCGATTAAAAGCTTATTACTAATTAATTAATTAATTAATTCATAATTACATGTCCATCTAATCATGTTAGTACTCGAGGAATATCATTTCTCAGCCTCTGGTGGTCAATTAGTCTTCTGCAGAGTTTTCAAGAGAGGAATTTAGTCTTCTCTACTTATGAAGTGTGTGTGATTTATTTATTTATTTTTTAATTTTTAAAACTGATTTTGTGTAGGCTGTGTTTAGAAAATCACAGGAGCAACGGGATCGTAAGGGTTAAAGTCAGATCTGGAATTTGCCTCCAACATGCCACTCCATATGTTACGGATGGTATAGAATCCACAGTGACTAACAAACATCAGAAGTGGGAACAGGAAATTCTTGTACTGACAAAAGGAACAATGAGGACCATAGTGATAGTACTTGCAAAAGGCTCTGAACGAAATGATTGTTCCTCTTGCCTGTAAAAATTTACTGCGCCCTGGAGGCTACTCAGAGGCAGAAAAGGGGCAGCAGCAATTTGGCTCAAGAGCAGCCACCATGACAACTGATAAATACAGAAATAATTTACGATCGCATGTTCTCCTGAACGTGTGGATTGTTAGGAACATCTGTCTGCTTTGCCAGATGACACAATTGCTTTTCCTGAAAGCTGACAATTAAGTCATTCCCAAACTGGCAAGCTTTGTCTGTTCATCTACTGTACCTCCTTTAGTGTATCTGTTCTGGTATTTGGTCACATTTTCTTTTCAGTTTGAATATACAGTGAAAGCACAGATAAAGAAAATGTACATACACATAGAGAAAAGAAAATACCCTAGCAGAGCTGTATTTATATATATAATTTTACAAGTTACTCACTGTTCAAAAATATTAAAATTGGTTTCATTTCCGCAAAAGTATCTATTTTGTCTGTTTTGGGAAACAACTGTAGAAAAGGTATTTATCCATAAGACAGCAGTGCTGCCTTTGGCCTGCAAAAGGCTCACAGGCCCTATTTTCTTCTGTGTAGTTCAAAGCCTAAATTCCTCTGAAAACAGTCTAAGAATGCATAATTGTGCACACAGAAGCAACTCGGCTGGAATAATTTTAGATGCAATTTTCTTCCCACTCCCAAATGCAGTGGAATTAGGTAGCCTTTTCTGACCAACATTTTACACAGTCATCTGATTTGTTACCTGTAAATTAATGCAGGAAAAACAGAGAGATTTACACCCATCAGCCGCAACAATAAAACCACTGACAGATAAAGGGAATAACGTCATCTTGTTTCAATGCAAAGTTCTGCAGGGAAACCTGGGCTCCTTTTGTGGATGCTACTTTGGCACATAGCAGCTATTTAACCATTGTTGCAGCCATTTAACTAACTATAGCTACAGACCAGTCATACTCATGATGATGTCCCAGATGGCAGCGACTTCTGCCACTGCAAAAACTTCTCAGAAACAGTTCGAGGAACACAACCAAGAGCCAAAGGTGTTGGACCCAGTCTCAAAACCCATTCTCATAGAGCATTCACAGAATACCCTGCAACAAACCCAAAGATCCAATGCCCAGACACTAGAGCAGGGGTGTCCAATCCTGGTCCTCGAGGGCCACAGTCCTCCATGTTTTAGATGTTTCCCTCTTCCAACACACTTGATTCAAATGACCAGGATCATTATCAGGCTTCTGCAGAGCTTGATGATGAGCTGATCATTTGAATCAGGTGTGTTAGAAGAGGGAAACATCTAAAACATGGAGGACTGTGGCCCTCGAGGACCAGGATTGGACACTCCTGCTCTAGAGCCCATAGCATACCCTCAGAAGTTCTATATCTGTTCCCTAGCAGATCAAAACTGTTTTGCCAGCACAAAAGGGAACCTACACAATATTGGGCTGATGGTTTTCATGTTGAGGTTGGGGGTTTGGGTCTGGCCATGAAGGCCCCCATTATTCCATTCATCTTTGATAATCAAAAGTTGTCAAACCCAGCTCATGTCTTACATCCTTAGATGTTCCTTTGAAACCATCAATAAATATGTGCTACATACAGAACCTACAGTGATATCCAGAATATTGTAGCTCCTATTAAAGCGATTAAGTGTTACCACAGAAAATTAGAAAAACTGAGCCCCCTCAGTGTCATCAAATATAAAAAGTTCAGGCCCAGTCGTGGCTGTCGGTTGTGACTTAAGAATTTGGGAAAGAGCCTTTTTAAGCTTTTAAAAAGTGACTGTGGGGGTGTGAAGACATGAATAGAAGAAGTACAAAAAAATCATTTAATGTTGTTATGTTGAGTTATGAAAGTTGAGAGCGGTTCATAATTAGCTGGGAGTGGGTCGTACTTCCCCAGAGAAATCAGAAGAAAAAAATATCAAGAGGTGCATGTCTTTTAGTTTATCATTAAAGTTTAGAAGTGTGATTAGTGATCTCGGAGGGGAATCATTACTGCTTGAAGTGGAAATATGATTGTTCAATAATAACTGAACAAAGACAAATTTCAAAATGGAAAGTTGGTATTAAACATTTAATATTAAACCAAGCGAATGCATCTATCTCTACCATCAGCTGTTTCTGGCAAGTACTGGAGCACTGAGATCTGCCTTTCTCGCAGGTTTTGGGGTTGGAGTGTTAGATTGACATTTTGCCGCCTTCATGTCAACTTATAAGTCAGTCAATTCGCTGAGAATCTCTCTGTGTCAGGCTGAATCTTTGTATTTATGGCAACCATGACTTCATCAAGGTTGCTTCCCATCTCTTGTCAGCAAGGGTTTTTAGTTGCAAATAATTTAGGGTTTGAACTTGAGGCCAGCTCAGTTATGCTAGGTGTTCATCTTGTTACAGTGAGATTGAGTATTTCTTCAGGTTGATCATGCTTTTTTAAACGCTTTCATCGTATCTCCATGTCCTTCATTAAAGATGTTCATTTAATGGCTATTTTTTAAAACTGTAATGGTTCAGGCTTCAAAGATTTTTTGGAGGGAAATGGAGGTTACACCTGAGTAGATGGCAGCCATTACCACAAGTAGAGTGCAGTGCAGAAGTGCAATGGATTTGTAGAGCTTTTAAGCTGAAAACGTCACTTGGTGAAAGTGAACCAAAAACTTAAGCAGGGCAAGTAAGATGGCTAAATTCAGTTGTAATCTCTATTACTTGTCCATGTAAATCTCTGTGGAGTTGGGTCTAGCTGCACATTCGGTGACTTTCATCACAACAAGCTACCCCTGGTCATGTTGTGTGATTGTTAGCGTATATTATTCTTTACAAAAAAAAAAAAAAAAAAACACACACACATTATAAAAGCTGCTTCAAAGATTTCCATTGCCTCTATGCGAATGCAATCTTTGGTAGGTTGTTCACCTTAAATATCCTCCTCCATACTTTTATATAATGCGTGTAACTGAATATGTTTTTGAGTTTGTGTGGTCTGGAGCTAGGTTACGGCAAAAGCACCAATGTCTCAAGGTAGAATGTAAAGCAACGATAATCTTTTGAATATGGAGATTCAGCTTGGTTTTAAAACACCAAAAAAATGACAGATACAGTTCTGTAATATATCATAAAACAGAGCTCAGCAGAAATGTTTCACACCCCCACACAGCTGGCCTGTCCCTGCTTAAGGGAGGGTTAAACATCATATTGCATATTGGTTTTTGAAGGTTACAAACATTTTCAGACACAGCCAGCAATCCAGATCCCCAGATTGTGATGGTAGAAAAGATTGGCATGAGGTGTTTACTGATGCTGGAACACTGGCTGAATAGATGGATGTTTCTCAATAGCATGGAAGAGACAGCTTCTCCAGTGTTGGTTTTTGGGTTTGATTGTGTACGAGACTCCAGCATTCAGACAGCTATATGAGAAATAGATTGCCCAGAAACATTACAGGTGCCGGCTTTAAATCAGTCAGTCTGAACTACTTGAGATGCAGCGTTGCACCGCACAGTGTGGTGGGAGCCAGACTCCGAGAGCCGACTGATTTTAATGACCTGAAAGCCTGTTTCTAATGGGTCTGACTGGATTTTCTATTGATTATGTTTTCGGCGCATGCGGTGGCATAGTATTGTGATTGCTATTGTCGCACACTGCAAATTGAACTAGCCAGCGCACAAGTAATGACAGCATTCATTCCTCTTACGAAATTAGAGATTCCCATTTACTTATCTATACCCATTACACTTAGCCTAAATTAGAGGAGTGTGATCGTTTACTCCCTGATGACAAATAAATGTATCTGTGCATACCAAGTACACACACACACATGGTGTATTCACAGCAGACCCAATCAATATACTCAGTCATTGATCGACTGCTCTGTATTGACCAAGTGCCTTCTCAGCTATTAGCGTAGACTCACTTGTACACTTTTTGATACCAGATCCTTTCTTCACAGCATGCCGACTGAGCTTGCATTGGAAGTTATTCTCCCAAAACTCTGCAAACCAGATATTCCTCCTGTTGTTCTCCAGTGTTCGGCTGATGAAGTAGCGATCAAAACCTGAAAGGAATAAGTGTCTGATGTTAGAATTTGGTCTCTTATGTTTCTACATTTCCAGCAGGCCCAGTTAAGGGCATTGCAATGTAAACTGTGGAATACACACAAATCCAATCCAAATGTCTTTTTCTTAGCCAAACAGTGAAATAAAGGTGGTTTGTTATTGTTGCACCTAGAAAGGAAGCTATTAAAATTACAAGTCTGCTTGTTTTAGCTTGCTGATGATGATTTTTATGTGCTTTACGTGAAAACATTTAAAAGAATTTAAAAAGCCAGTCTGCTGCGGTATTGATTTAATTTGTGTAAAAATCTCTCTAAAAGGTAAATAATAGTAGTGACACAACACTTTATGGATCATGTGGTTGCAAGTAGGCAAAAAATGAAAAGCAGTCTCGTAAAAAATGATCATGTTGAATGTCATACTTCGAACAGAGAAAAGAGATGTGGTTAGTAGAGGCAAACATTCAGTAATAATGGCAGCAAAGGAGCAAAATAATCAACACAAAAATAATCCATTGTGAGTACTCTGTAAGGTAAGGTTTGAGTACCTTTGATGGACTGTCGTTTGGGGAGGATGGTGACGGCACCTTCTGCCATTTCTTCTTGGTTCAGTATTGGGGCAATTTTGGAGCCCCAGCTGTCTGAACCCACCCAGATGAAATGGCCTGTTTGATTGGCCTTCTTAGCTGCTTGGAGGAGCCGCCTTTGGGACAGAGAAGTAGAGCAGTGTGTAAGTGAAGCACATAATGCTGCTTTCTTTTATGTTTTTATTCACACACAGCGATACCGTGCATCACCAATGATCCAGTGTTCCTATTTAAATACACCCTAAAGAGGGAGTGTAGCTGCCATGCCGTGGAATTGAAAAGCCACCACAGACTTGCTGCACAGGAGTTCTTCCTGACTGTGGCAGAATGACACCCTTGCCACATTTGTCCAGGCTTGTTGCCAATGGACGTAAGTTTGGGAAGTCGTAAAAAAACTGCCAACTAGCTTTGCTGTAGCAGCACAGTTACATCAAGGAAGCTTGAGCACAGCAACATAAATTTTAAACACAGCCACCTGGCATGTGAAGCATTACCGACCCCTTATATTGCTCCAAAGATGCCAGGACAAACATAAATATTGAGCATTGCATTGTGTTGTAGACAGCATCAGTCTTTTACATGGCACATACTGTTTTAACAACCCATAAGATTTTTGTAGTTGCATAAAAAAAGGACAGTATAACCTTGTAAAATAATTACATTTTCTTGTATAATGTGGAGTGGGTGAGCAGTGACTCATCCAACTAACCAAATGTCTCTTTACCTTAGTTTTACGACCGCAAGGATTTATGTCTGATTGGTAATGATTTTTCCCAGAGTCTGGTCTCCAGAAATTTTGTGAAATGAGCATGTCTTAAAACGCAATTATGAGCGCCATGTAGGAAAAATGAGAGAAATAGATTTTCTCACTGTCAGGAGACATAACTAGACAGGCTGAGAAGTCTGATGTGAAAATAACACATTGGGACATAAAGGTGTTGTTTAAGGGAGGTCGATGAACATTACCGCTTCGCATCAACTTTGACAGGCTGCCGTCAGTTCCCAACGTTACTGTTAGTAAAAATGTCATTATGTTTCAGTAAAATCTTCATAAAACCTTGTTACTGTGCTAACTGATTTAATTTTAATGAATTAATTTGAAAAAACACATATTCCACATGGTACAATCAAGTTCCTTGCAAGTACATCTTCCTAGATTCAACCGTTAAATGTAGTTTGATGAAAATTTCAAAATGCCCAGAATAATTTATACTGCTGTAAATGAACCAGTTGAAGGAATTAATAAATAGATATTAATAATGATTCAATTAAGTTTGCTTTCGTTCTATTTATTTATTTAAGAATTTGTGTTTATTTCTTTTCACTTTCTCAGGCTATGTTGTTTTCTCACAGAGCTAATACCTTCCTGGCCAGATTATGAAAAGCTAACCCATAAATATTATATTATAATGACACCGAGACGAGGCAGTATTTTTTAATAATCGTATCGTGTTACAGGACTCCATCAAAACAGCTCAGCCTCTTTTACTTTCTTTGTAGGCAATTTTGGGTTCTTATTCGGCTGCTGCAGGCTCACACTGGCTGAGTTCAAGGCTAGAGCAGGCATGGAGCGCTGAAATCCCCCCAGCTTTCTGTAATTACTATATATCCAGACTATTACCCGTTATCAGGACCGGATTAAGTCAATGAGCACTGGGACTTCTGCCCTGGTCACCGTCAAGAGACCGCCCCAAATCACTGCCCACTTCCACTAGGAATTCACTGGCCTACTAACTGGTTGCTGGGAAACATTTTCCCCCTCAAAGCCACAACAGTGCCGCATGTGTTGATTCAGCATGAAACTAATTAATTCATTTTTAATGCAGACGATCCGTCTTAATAATAGATAATGAATTTCAATTGATAGATTTTTGTCCCCACAAGAGAAGCAGGCACAGTCTAACTTTACTTTTCTATAGTAAAGCCAGCTATAATAGAACGGGGACAGTGGAATAGATGCCAAATTGGATTACAAGGCTATTAGTGGGATAGACGGGACACGGGGGACCGGACAAAATATAGAAAACCTTTTCAATGAAACGCTGCTCGACAGTATTTGATGTATAGAATCTCTCCTTTCAGACTGTTACAATAGTACAGATATTATAATATTGAATTGTAATTATTGTGTCTAACAAGTTAACATTATTTTAATATAGCACCTTTTGGATAGTTTGACCATTAAAATGCATCATACTTTATTTGTTAAACATAGGTTTTGTTTAAAAACGGTGATTCTGCAAAGTAATTTGTGTCTAAAGCTGTCAAAAAAAGGAGTTGTGTAAAAACTAGGACAAATTTGCTATAATGTAACATAACAAATGGGATACTAGAAGTCCTCAGGTCCTGCAGTCGTACCAGTTCTTCACTTGATGTGAAAAATATATAAAAATAGAAACATATTTGACATTTATAAGTCATAAATATTAACATGTGGGTAGCAGAATGTATTTTACATGGGAAAAGCAGTTTAATGTCTTTAAACACACAGGAGACATTTGTGACTTTTTAATGCCGGCGGCAAATGCAGCCTCAGGGAGAGATCCTACATTGCTAAACAACATTTAACACTTTAGATGCCTGTTTTGAGTACAGTTTGAAAACAGTTAAACATCAAAATTGAGTGTATTTTTCACTTTAGAAAACCCCCCCCAAAAGAACAGAAACGAGCACGATGAAGCAAGTACCCAGCAGTGGTTGAGATAAGTTGGGATAATCATTATGTTAACTGACAGCACTTCACTTCGCTTCGCTTACCTGATGTCGTCCTCGTTGGCAAAGATGATGACTACTCGAGCATTGGGGTTCTCACTCAGCCTGCGAATGATCTTGTCAAACTCTCCAACCCTTGGCTCACGTGGTATTTTCACAGACTGTGAAATGCACAGGCCACCTGATTGGAAGACACAAGAGAAAGTTTCCAAATTAAAAAGATCTCATTAGCAGAGATTTTTAACTTCAACAGCAAATTAATACGGCAGTTCCAAGTGTGTCGTTTTCAAGCTCTGGGTGATGTCGAGTCTAATTTTCTCTTCTTTTTAACCCACACAAATCTTTTTTTTTTTTTCCTTCCTTCAATCCTCTGGACTTTTTTTTTTTTTTTTATGATAGATGCACTATTAAATGTTCACAGGTGCAGTATTTCACAGCATGAGGGATGCAAGGTATTAAAAAAAAATCTTTCCTTGGACCGCAAGGGGCAACTTGGAGACATGGCTACCCATCAATTCAGGTTATGGTCCTGCCAGTGAGACCAGGGGAATTTGGTAGCATTTCGAAGTACATAAATTTTGTAATTGAAAACTGGTTCCATTTGTTCAGAGTCATTTTTCTTATTACACAGGTTGTTTAATTTTATCCAACCTACAAATTACTGTTTACTAAGATTTTCTAACTTCTGGTTCTTGGCTAAAGATCGGCCTATCTTTAATAGAGAGGCAGAGCAAACAAACATGAAGTGGAGATCTATCCAATTTAATTAGTCAGTTAATTACTTGCTGGTAAACCTACAGTATTGTCCAGTGGAATTGATTAGTTTATCTAGTTAGACACTGGCCAGCACAATGCCAACACATAATTCTCCACAGATCAGTTTAAAGAGCATCCTCACCTTCTTAGAAAGGCTCATCTATTGAACACAAGTCTAGAGGCAGCAGGGGACTTCCCCTAGTTAGCAACAAGCAAAGGCTTTTTAATTCCCAATGCAGCATTTCAGGATAACTGTTTTGTCACTCTGCCAAAATGCCAAAGAGAGTATATGCATGCTAATGAATTTCCCTTTCGTGACCCAGTACAAAGCCGGCCCAATGAACAATCAATGCATGAATAATACCCTCTAGTCCAGTTCATGGCAGCCAGACTCACACCATAAAACAAAGCCTGAGCCCTGCTCAGATACAAATAGGTTGGGAAACTGGAAATATGAGTAAAGAACAGGGGATGCCATTAAATTAACGATGATGTTGGGCTGCTTCGCTCATGGGTACAAAAAGTCATATCCGCTTAAGTCAGTGAGGGGCTTCAGTCAGTGACCTGCACTATTGTTCTGATTGTACACTCTGGATGAATTTAATGATGTTTCCTCTTTCCTCAAATCCCTGGTTTTGCTCTTCCACCGAGGTTGTTTTTCAGAAAGGCTGGGTATATAGGTTTCGTGTGGTCATGCATGTCACAAGGAGAACACAACAGTTCTGGCTTATATAAACATTCACTTGGCCGGTTAATGGATTAGCAGTTCCTTCACTAGAGGAACAGATTCATTTCTTTGTGTGTACTGGCCCATGTCTTGTTGTTGTGTGAGGATGGGGGATGTTTCCATTAGGCAAGACCCTTTTTTTCTAGCTCCTTCTTATTCCCAGGGTGTCAAATAATACCATTTCGTCAAAGCCTCTTGAGTCTGATAGACACGCACAAGGGATCCTTTTGCGTCATTGCCACCTACGTCAATATTACATGTCAATAGATGAGTAGTTTGTCCAGTTTAAAATATGGTGGAGAACACATAAGTTACTGTGCTTAGGTTTGTGTGGCATGTCAGACCAGTAATTTTTCCACTTGGTTTTTATTTAGTCTCATTTTTGCTTGCCATTTGGATAAGCGTAGGCACCAAAAACACTTGGTAAAGTTTAGGCAACGACCACGGTTTTAGGTAAAATTTCACAACATTAATTGCATGTTACAAGACAAACTGCATGTTATCTGAAAACAATCAGTGATATTGATGTGATATTTGGTGAAATAATTATGGTGTCTATTTCTGACATTTACAGTTTTTTGTTGGTGTAACAGACTACCCTGCACTTTGAAAAATGGTGTAACCAGTGTGTTCATACATACATAAGAGTTTTGACAGCAGCAGTGATGAGTTCAGAGGAAGACCACAACCCTGCAGCTATAAAATATCACAATGAATACAAATTTGCCATTCAGTAGTCTGGAATTTCCAAGTTTTCATAGCAGAGATTATACTCAGTGAGCAGGTGCCAGATCTAACTACAGTTCGTATACTCAAAAGTCATCCATTTGCATTTCATACCAACATGTCAGTCTTTAAATTCATACTGGAGGCATCATTTTCTTTCTCTGTGTTCATTTTGTTTTCATTTCATGTGTTATTTTTATGCAAAAGTAAAATAGGTTATTGTGAAATACTCATTTTAAAAGACTGAATATCAGTGGTAAGACTGTGTGTAAAGATATAAGGCCAAAACTGTGTGTAAGCGCAGCATACAATGATGCCTGCTCTGGTGTTGCTGGTGATGTGACATAATCTTTGATATTGCTTCTTCGCCTCTCTTTCTACAAATAGCGTTAAGATTATTCTTGCAAGGAGAATGATATGCAAATGGTTGATACATGGCATAGCTGTGTCCATTTCGGGCCCCATTCTGGGAGAGGATATGGTTGATACATGTACTGAGGTGAAAACAGAGCCATGTTGGTACACTTTCTGCCTGTGTGCGTTCACATACTGTAGAGGAACTATGCACGGTTTTCTGTACGCCTTTCTGAACAATAAGTGGATCTAAATGTGTGGAGGAATGCAAGAAACAGTTAGCAAATAAAGCGTTTCGTAGCTCACAATATTTGCATACCTCTCTCCAATCTAAGAGCTCCTGATTGTGGAGTCTTTGATTAAACTGAAGCAGAGATTTATCTGTGTACCTCTCTGTGTCATTACACTTACACCACATGGGGAATTTTTCAGTGGCATGCTAGCAACTCTGCTCTCAGAGACTCTATCAATCATTAGATTCTATGTCTTTGCGCCACTGGTACTTCAGTCCCGTATTCCCCCAACATCTGCTATATGGAAGCAGAGCACTCAGCCTTTCCTTCTCTCCTCACATCACGGCAGCAGGCTGCAGCATTGCTTTACTTCCAGAGAGAATAGCGGGTGGACCAGGGGATAGAACACCAGCCTCTGGGAACTGCAGCACGCTGAATAGGGCCCTCCACGGGGCCACTGTTGTAACTCTGTTAGCAGTATAGGGTAGACATTGTCATTTGTTTTATTGTGGACATCTGGCATCTGTCCATCTCTAAGTATAGAATGGTTTAGGAAAAGACGCCTTGACTTGAGGACCTCAGCTCAAGTCCCAATTCAAGAAGCAGCCACAGAGCAGGACACTCTCTACCTTTTGCTGACTTTATTCTCTTATATATCCACTAAGGACGTAAAAGGGCTGACATATCTTACACATGTTGGTTCAGTTCTGCCCAGCTGCTCCAAAATGACTTTTTCACACACCCTAAGTGGCTTTTAATTGGGATAATTATAGGTCTTGCTTATTGCATATTTTATTTTAATATTATCTAATGAAACAAGTCTCTCTACTAGAATCCGATTTTCAATAAGGCACTTTGCCTGATTCCACTTTGCCACTGGACAGGATGTAATTAGGGAGCCGTACTTTAAAACTCCCCCCACTTCTTTTCTACAAACCACTTCCTACCACTTTCCTTTATCCGAACCAGGCCACCTACCTTACCTTGTGAACATAACAACATTCAGGCAAAGACAATTAAAAAGCAATTAATTACAAGTGTGTAATAGCTCTAAAAAAAAAAAAAAAAAAAAATGTGGTTTGACACTCAAGTCTCCAGATACATACCGAATCATCTAGTGATTAATTGTGGATATACATTAAAATTAACTTTAAATCATCTCTACAGATTAATAATCACTGGCTTGTGTAAGAGCAAATGTAAGAACTGGGTTATGCTTTTCGCCACACAAAACATGAATTAATCGGTGAGTGTAGCTCGGGTGCTAATTTTCCTCATGACATGTTGCAGTTTGTCAAAACCCCACGAGGTTAGCTGATAATTAAATTTAACAAATGCACTGTCCACTGCTGCTCCCTTTATGCTACATCTGCTTCAGCAAACTTCATGCGCAGTGTGTTTCTCTTCTAATGCTCATCCTATACAAGCCTTCACATCTAAAATCCCCCTCTAAAAATATCTGCCGCTCAGGAGGCTGCAGGCCTCCTTTCGTGTCTTCCATTGTCAACTCCAGTCTCAGCTCTACTAATGGCTCAGAACACTAATATTCCTTCTCATCTGACACCCGTGGGAGAGGTAGTGCTGCCATTAACATTAAATATGCCCCGGCACTGTGGCTGATTGCAGCACAGCTCATGTGCCTGGTGAACAGTAGTGCAGAAGCACACAAAATACACCCAGATGGGTGGTGTGTTGAAGGTACAGGTATATAAATAGCCTGTTTATTGGGATCCCCTTAGAGGAAATACCTACGCAAACAGACTTAATTTGTAGCTGGAGAACATTGATAGCAAAAGAACTAAACCAAACGAATGCTGCTTCTACAGAGTGTGTATTGCTTTCCGTTGCAGGATGCATGAAAAATGTCACTTTCTCTTAATGTAAACATCTTCCCCCTACTGCAGGTGCTACCTTTGCTGCATGGCAGCAAATGACTTACTATCTTGCAGACACAATCAGTTCATAATTACAGAGCCAGTCTGAGCAGCACTGAGCTTTGAATTCCCACATGCTTTGAACAGCAGTGTTGTTCCATCAATCCACTGATAGTTCCCTTTATAGTGCCTTGCTCCCGACCAGCAGTCGAACGGACAGATCAGTAGCATTCAGCTTCAGTGTTGTGATCGCAGTGCTTCCACAAATACCGTCTGAGGAGATCAAAGTAATGAAAAACGTCAAGAACAAAAACAAGGTGATGTGGATTTCACTAAATAGGGAGATAAATAATATCCCCCTGCCCAATGTACTACATTGTATACCTAATGATTTATGCAAATCAGTTGATCAGAAGCCTGTGATAAACTGGCAGCTTGTCCAATTTTTCACTGCCTTTCATCCATTGCATGCTGGGACACTCTGGGACATGCTGGATGGAATTGATTTTAG